CAACCTGACGGAACTGGAGAGGATCTGCAAGGAGAAATGGCAGAGGATCCACAAATCCAGGTGTGAAAAACTTGTTGCATCATTCCCAAAAAGCAGACTATAAAGATTATAATTTAAAATATTACCTAACTTTTTGTGTCAGGTACTTCAGGTTTCTTTGTTGTTAACATAAAAAAGCCCTTCCATAATAACAGCCCCCCTTCCCCCTCCCCCCCCCCCACACACACACACCTCATGTATCCAAAACACATAATCCACGATTATACGAAAATAGGAAAATAGCCATAAAATCTCACGGATTGATCTTAAACTGGAAAGAAAAATATTGTTGCTACCTCAGTACCTTTATATCATCTCTCAATACAGATTTCTGTCATTTATAACATGCTATAGGAGAGGCAATTTTGGTTATCAATCATACTTACATCTTTTATCCTCTGGGTCAAATTGACCCCAGAAAAAAACAGACACAATTTCAAACATTTAGAATTGTTTTTTTTTATTATTTACTTTTAAACTTTAATACATTTACTTGTAACATCATAAAATTTGGTAGGTAAAATACAGTAAAACTATTCCAGAAAAGGACAATAGAACATTGGGAACTTGAATTAATTGCCTCACCTTTGACCTGTAAACCCCTGCTAAAATGAATAAACCAATGTAGGCGTTTCAAGGTGTCAAAGGTGTCATCAATGTCTTGCCATGTGTCCCCATATACACACTTCCCCACTAAGTTGGTCATATCCAGTATGTGCTTTTCTATTGACAATGTAATGAAAAGCTCAAATGTTGTTTTTATATTTTGGACATGTGTCTGTTTGAGTTTGTGACGCCACAGGAGGATCAACGTGAAGGCTCCCAATCTCCTCTGCCTCATCAGATGATATTTCATAGCTATGATCCTCCTCAACATTATCCTCTGCTTGTGAAACCTCATCATTTTCCTCTATGTCACTCTCATGATCAAAAAGCTGCGACAAAACCTTTGCTTTGAAGTCATCTATATTTGAGGCATACAGATATTACAGAAAGGAATGAGGTGAAATGCTGCAGTATTTTTATGCTGCTGTGCTCTTACACAGCAGCATAAAGTCATTAGAGGGACAACACAAACAGGAAGGTTAGGATAAAAATCTAGAGAAGCCAGATTGAGATGGTTTGGACATGTGCAGAGGAGGGACAGTGGATACATTGGTAGGAGAATGTTAGAGATGGAGCTACCAGGTAGGAGACAAAGAGGAAGACCAAAGAGGAGATATATGGATGCAGTGAGGGAGGACATGCAGATAGTTGGAGTCAGAGTAGAAGATGCAGAGAACAGGGAGAGATGGAAAGCAATGATCTGCTGTGACAACCCCTGAAAAAAGGGACAAGCTGAAAGAAAAAGAAGAAGATATTTATTAGCCATTATCACTAGGGGTTACTATACATTGCATATGTCCTGTTATATAGGATAGATATTAGTAATATATTTATTTATACAGAGTATATCACTTATGTATATACATATATATATATACATATGCCCACATCCAAATATATACATTATATATATACTGTATATACACATATACACAAACATACACAGAATGTAATGGTATATTGAAATTATAGTAATAATATATTATAGCAATAATAATAATAATATACTAGTATTGTGAGATTTTGGTTATTGCACTGAATTATTGCAGGGTTAATGCACATACTCCCTTACACCACCAGTCGTTTGTTCACCCTCCTCCTGTATATACATATACGGTACATGCACACACACACACACTTACTTACAGTATATACCTACATACCTACACACATACACTTTTTTTTGTTCATCAAGTATGAGAATCAGATGAACTTTGCCCTGGGAGTAAAACTTAAAGAAAAAAAACAACTGCCCAGTACTTGTGAAACTTTCTCAATAAAAGGAGCCGCAGTCACTCATACACTTTGGGACTTAGGTGAGCCAGCTCTGCGAAGCTGTTGGCCTCTCACTGAGTAAAACTTACAACGTTGTCAGGTGTGGTTCTTTTCAGGTCATTCTATCTGTGGCAGTTAGATGACAACAGTGGTGACTGAATAACGTAATTTTCGGCACCAACAAAAGACTAACAAGGTTTGCAGAACTTCAGGCGTGAACATCAGCACATAAACACTTAGCATCAATACAGAAGACAAACTGTATAACAGTATACACACTCAAACAATGATCCCACAAGAACAGAGTGAGGGAGAGAGGTATATATATACACAGGGCACCAGGTGACACGAGTGAGACTAATCACAGAGACACAGGTGAGTGAGATCACACTGATTACGCCACACAGCAGACAGCAGGAACAGGGAACAGAGAGACCTCGCAAAACTATTGGATCTTCGGAGTGCTCCTACAGACAAGCTGAAAGCTGCATGGGAGGAGGATTTTTGGGTTTCCTTTATCAGCGGATACTTGGGTTTCCGCACTTAAACGAGTTAATTCAACCTCTTTCTCTGCAAGCCACTGCCTAATCCAGTTCAAAGTGGTACACAGAGCTCATATTTCCAAGGCAAAACTGTCCTCTTTTTAACTGGATATTAGTCCAAACTGCATCAAATGCAAATTCATAGAGGCTTCCATCTTCCAATGTGTGTGTGTGTATATATATATATATGTATATATGTATGTATATATGTATGTATGTATATATGTATGTATATATATGTATATATGTATGTATATGTATATATGTATATGTATATATATGTATGTATATATGTATGTATACATGTATATATGTATATATGTATGTATATATGTATGTATATATGTATGTATGTATGTGTGTGTGTGTGTGTATATATATATATATGTATATATGTATGTATGTATATATGTATATATATATGTATGTATGTATGTGTGTGTGTGTGTGTATATATATATATATATATGTATATATATATGTATGTATGTATGTGTGTGTGTGTGTGTATATATATATATATATGTATATATGTATGTATACATGTATATATGTATATATGTATGTATATATATGTATATATGTATGTATGTATGTGTGTGTGTGTGTGTATGCGTATATATGCTTGTGTGTGCGTAGAATCAAAAACATTAACTTTTTAAAATTTCATCAGGATTTTGGAGTTTGTTGGTGCTACGTCACCAATTAACTCCCCCCTTAGTCATCGGAATGGTTGTCTCTGTGCTAGGATAAGCTAATGGTGTTCTCCCTGCCCTGTCCTTCTGTGAGTCCTCCCACTTCTCTCTTCTTTTTGTCAGAGATCAGCAGCTGAATTCAGGGTGAGTTTTACATCTCTTTACTTCTCTCTTGATCACTGATTGCTACTCGTAGAAAGCTCATTGGCGTCATATTTCCTACTAGATGAACTCATATTATTAACTATCCTACAAGACTTATTCAGTGCCGAGGGAGGAGGAAGGGACTAATAGAGAATGTGCAAGATGAATACATGGACACTCAGCAGAGTTAAGTTTCACCGGTTAATCTGAACACGTCGTATCTCACTGGACTTTATTCTTAATAACGCCGTAACCCATTTCAAACAGGATCACAGACAGTAAGTTCCTCTTGATATCGAACAGAACTGATTATTTATTTTCTTCTTATTCTTGAATTTAAAAAAAAAATTATACTTTGCCACTAATAATGCCAATTGTGTTAATGTTCATTATATTTGTTGTCTTTGCATTTAATGTTTTATGTTTATAAGTCTAAACAAAAGTAACAACAAGGTCAGATTTCTATCTTGTGATTGGAAGAGAGCATCCATTTCCTCCTAATGGAAGCGCAGCACCACCCACTGTGTTCCCCTGGGAATAAAAAAACATTAACAGAGGTTCCCCATTACACACTCGCACACGCAAATCAATATAATGTAAGATGCTCACTTCCTCTCACATCTAATCAATATTTAATCAACCATACATTAAAATCTTATTTTGACACATTTAGAAGATAATTTTTTTTTTTTTTTTCGTGACTCTTCACACAATTTCAGAGGAGGAGATGAGTGGGGTGTGAGAATCAAAAACACCTGGGGTCCGTTTCTTGAAGCGGGCTTAGTGCTAAATCAGAGTTCGTTAACTCTGTATTAGAGGGAACTCTGACTTTCAGGTTTCACGAAGTCGCCTAGACCGTGACGCTGACTTGGGTGCTATGGCCACATGTGGAGCAAACCTGCTCCGTGGCAGGTTTAAGGTCCTTAAGCCTGACTTAGGGAGTCAGTCTGTAATCACATGCAAGCCGTGGCGTGGCCGTTTGTTGAGGAGCCTGTTGACATCGCAGCTCAGTTGCTTAGAAGAAACGTACAGCAGGAGAGAATCCTGAGACCACAACTTGATATTTTAGCACTCCCTAAAGTGTTTTTTTGTTAGATGGTTTCTGTATTTCTTCCCAAGCTATCATATTGAATTTGTTCGCCAAACGTATTGTAGTCGCACTTTTAGCTCTAGTCTTAGCTCGGAGCAAATACTTTATATTGCACTTCTTTTTTTTTCTTTTTGCTAACGGTAGTTTTCTTTACATAAGGTGATGCTTAGAACATATCCGAGGCAACGGTGTGCCGATGTGTGTGTGCAGCGTTGCCGTTGCGCTGAAAAAAGCACACTTCCAGGAGTGCTCTGTGAAGAAAAGTGCAAGTTTGACATTGGTACATCACTACTGCAACACATCTTTTAAATAAATACACACCTCAAGAACGATTACTTCTGTACAACAATGAAGAGTAAATAACTTTACTCATTACTATTATACTTACCATCTCTTTGGGATCTTCTATTGGAGGCTCCGCGAGGTAGACACCAAATATCACATAGTTAAATTATTGTTTCATACAGAAAACTGCCTTGTGTAATTTGAACGTTATTTTCCTAATAGTACACAGACCACAGCAGAATTACTCAAATATTTTATTTTAAATAAAAGTTTATCCATCCATCCATCCATCCATTTTCATCCGCTTATCCGTTACCGGGTCACGGGGTCGCGGGGTCAGCAGCCTCCACCCAAATCACATTGCACCGTACCAACCCCCCTGAACCTTCCTCCGGAGTGGTGAGTCCACTGCAAGGTACCAACCGCCCTAACTGGGATTCGAACTTGTCCAGGAGGTGAACCCTGGGGTTCCACACCAATGACAGAGACATTGCCTCTGGGCCAAAGCGCCACTAATAAAAGTTTAATAAAAAAATAAAATAAAATAAAATAAAATACTTAAACCGAGAAACCCTTCACTTTATAAGCCTACACACAACAAATATATTAATGAGGAAATTATATTAAAGGGTAAAGGGATCTCAGTAGGGTTGAGGTTAAGTTGGTCCAGAAGGGCTCACACCACTGTGGTCAACAAGGGAAGGCAGATTGTTTATTAAGGGGGTTCAGATTTTCTGAAAGGTTGCAGGTTTCATTATGACATTATATGGGGCATTTTAAGGCACAAGGGCATTTATCCAGTGCCTAAGTGATGGGGAATCAGAATTGATTTTTTAAAAAGTATTTCTCATAGGCGTTCTCTAGTAGGGTAGTAGTGTCCTGGTCCATTTGGTTGGTTTTACATGTTCTGTAGACCATATTTCTATCAATTTTGTGTAACCTTAAGTGGCGTAGTATGTCATGATTATATTGTATAGTATATTTCACCTTTGTTGTGCAATTTCTGTTGATTGATACTTTTTTTTTTCATACTTTCACAATACCTATTTTTTTTAGGTCTTTTAATACTAGGCAACTTCATCTGCATCCCTACAAGATGTTGTCGTCTACAACCACTACCACCGTTCCCATCTCCCTCAATACCCCACGTGATCCATCCCTCACAGTGACCCCCACCTCCCACCACGTCGCCATGCAAACCTACTGGACAGAGGTGGAGAGCATCGAGGAAGAACGAGAAGAGGAGGAGGAGGAAAGTAAAAGTGTAGATGGTGAGAGTCAGGTGTAGCGCAATTAGCCGTTGCGGTGCTTGTGTTGTGTAGTGTAACTTTCACGTCTTCGTTCCGCGTGCAGAGGTGGACATGGAGGAAGCCTGGTTGATGGGGGCGGGGTTGTCCTCGCTGGTGACAGGCTCCTTTGAGGAGGACACGTCACTGACAGCGGAGGCGCTGTTGTCCACTCTAACCCGTCAGCAGGCAGCAACGGTAAAGAACAGGCTGGATAATTACAACGAGACGCTGAGGAAAAAAAATAGGCAGCCAGTCAAAGACGTCCGAGACATTTTTACTCAGGTGAGAGAGAGCAATAAAAAAAAACAAAATAGAAGAGGAAGAAAAAGGAAAAAACAAAAATAATGACTTCAAGTTCTTTGGTTCAGTCCAGGGATGACCCAACAGACTCATGCTCCTCACCCACCTCGGAGTACAGCCAGTCACCCACCAGATATCATGTGACGACAAAGACAATACGGCGGACAACACAGAGGGGTAGTTGTTTTTTCCGGTCTCTTCTCCAGCTGTTTATCTGTCATTTCAGTTAAACGCTTAATTGTTCACGATTAATTGTTCACAGTTCGACCCTCCCTGCACTCCTTGTTTTTTGATGCTGGACTGATGGAAGATGCAGACTCGGTGGCACTAAGCCCGCTCCCTCCTCACACTCAGCCACCACCTGTCACTCAGTCAAGACAAGCTGATTGGCTGGTCAGAGACTCCTCGTACTCAGACGGTGTGGACGAGCACAAACAGGGTGGGGCCTGTTGGGACTGTCTGCATTCCCAGGGTGACGACAACAGTGACGTGCCAGTGAGTTAAAATTCCCTACGTGTTTTTTTTTTTTTTTTTTATTTTGGCCACATTAAACTGGTAATATGAAGTTGCCATTGTTTGTGTGTTTGTTTGTGTACAGTTCGTACCTATTGCGCCCTCACAGGGTCTCACTTGCACTGATGACCTTTCATCATGTGACCTCACTCAGCTCAGCTTTATCTCGCACATTGAACTATCAACGTTTCTATTTGCGCTGGGCATTCAAAGCAAGGAGACACGCCAGCCGCGCCACAGAAGCCAAGGTGAGAAACGCTGTTGTGGTGGCATCCTAGCATGAGAATAATTACTATTATATTGGCAGGGTGCTAATGAGTGATGTCTCATTGCGCCCTCACAGGGTCTCACTTGCACTGATGACCTTTCATCATGTGACCTCACTCAGCTCAGCTTTATCTCGCACATTGAACTATCAACGTTTCTATTTGCGCTGGGCATTCAAAGCAAAGAGACACGCCAGCCCCGCCACAGAAGCCAAGGTGAGAAACTCTGTTGTGGTGGCATCCTAGCATGAGAATAATTACTATTATATTGGCAGGGTGCTAAAGAGTGATGTCTCATTGAAACATTGGGGAAAAAAAACCCAACTGTAGCCCATCTGATCTGATACCTAAGCTCAAATACAAGGGAGGTCCGACAGTAACTTTCTGCCAATATCCAATATTGCAATATTGTCCAAACACTTAATTTACAATGCCCATTTCAAACGACACCGGGCATCACTTAATTGGTGGTTAAGGAAGTTAAGTGTCGCCTAGTGATGTGTCGTTCGCGAGTGATTCGTTCAAAATGACAGATTGACAGATAGAATACATCATTAACTGTATTGTTCGCGAGTGATTCGTTCAAAATGACACACACTGACACACAAGTGTTTCTGTTACATATACCATATGTGATCAGAACCGATGCCACTAAATACAATGCAATGTAAATTCAGCATTACATTTCCTTGTCTAACTTCCGTGTTAGGGAAAAACTGCACTGTAAAATGAAGCATTACGATGCAGTTCTGATATAGTGTCGAAAAGAATCCCTTTAGTAAATCTCGTTTGTGTGCTTGTAAAAATGAATCGATGACCCCTTTTTTTACCATAATGTGGAGAGATAGAAGATTTTAGGCTCATTCCGACTGGGCCACTTGGGGATCTTTTAAAATCTGATTTATCTTCAGGTTCGGTTCCAGAAAGTATGACTGTGTTTCAGTATAGGACTGCTTTGCTCCATAACTGTGTTCTTACTGTAGTACTCTATCTCTTGTTCTGTTTGACACCCTCTCTCCTCTCCATTTCCTGTGTCTCATCCCCTAAGACACTGGTGTTTTTGGGGTTCCCTTGAAGGTTCTGTTAGAGAATGACAGGAAGAAATTCCCCGGAGTTAAGGTTCCTGTTGTCTTTCAGAAGGTGATGATCTTCTTCGTCCAACTGTCTGCATGTACTTCCTCTCTATAGTCAAGCGGCTGTCTGTCTCTGCTGGATTTGCTGATCTGAATTGATTGTAATCACTTCAATGTGTGCGTGTTTGTGTGTGTCCGTGTGTGCGCCGGGTACAGTTGCTGTGTATTGTGGAACAGACGGGTCTCCAGACTGAGGGGATTCTCAGAGTACCAGGCTCGGCAGCTAGAGTTAAGGTAGTTTCTCTTCTCTCTTTTATTTGTTTATTTGATCTAAATCAATGATTCCTTAGCAAAAGTGCAAAGTGCAATCTTATCATTTCAGCCCCAAATTATTAACCAAGTCAGACGTGAACAGCACCATTGCTGCTCTGCTCTTTTCCTGTAGCCCTTTTTTTGACATTTGATGGTAGGTCACACCTCTATCAAGAATCTACAGGTGGCACTATGACCAGGAACTGTGCAAGGCTCCCCACAATTCCAAGGGGTAGACAGATTTGCACAGTTCAGAACCTCTAAGTCAACCTTTTTGAAATTTGCTTAGTTTTCCGAATAAAATTAAAATTCAACAAAAAAAAAAAATACAACATTTCCTAGAAAAAAAAAAAGTCCCATTTTCACTAGCCACTGACAAACACATTTAACAAATCAAGAACTACGTTAACGAAAACATTATCAATTACGTAATGCTTAAGGAAAATAAACTTTCATATTTCTAAATAAAATCTGGTCACATTTTAAACGAAGGAACAAATCTGCAGCATTTTTAACAAAACTGTTGAACACACAAATATTTTTCCTTCTACAACAACATTTCAATTTTGCCGTGACACTGCCATGTTGACACCTGCAACGTCTGCTATCTGTTTCTTTGTTAATAAGAAAACTGGCTTACACTGTTCACCGGTGTTTTGTAATCTGGTGTGGTTACTTGACACGGTCTTGCAAATGTGCAAAAACGACACCTTGGATTCTTTTCCTTTTTGACGTTCTGTTTTCCCCTCATTATTTGGGCAGAGAAACTGGTTTAGGGCCGGTTCTGTGACTATCGGTCTCTATCTCCGAGCGTAACAGTCAGTGCCATCTGTACCATACACCATCCTGTTATGTAAACCATTAGCATGCACACATTTCTTCCAGTACTTCCCCTTTTTAGTACAGCATTGAAAAACAAAACAGTATAAATTGATATGAACACTTAATATAATGAATGTATTGCAAAGATTGAACAAATGTAATTACAATATCTTATAACAGAGCATCACAGCTGAGAAGCTGGAACGCTGTAGACACACCTGCCTAATATGGCCCAGGGCTAAAGAAGTTGAGGCACAATCCATGCAGTTTGCAGTCAGCATGGGTCGAATGCTCCTTAGAACCGCAAACTCCGCATCTAGACGGTCCGGGACCGCGGGCATGCTTGAGCTTTTCTCTGATTCGGCTGACAGCCAACCGGCTGAAAGGTACTAACCCTCTGATTGGTTGCAAGTGAAGT